TACTCTACTAAGTGTAGTTGGATAATAACTAGGAATATTTGATCAAGTTTTCGTCATCTGAACAACTGCCCACATACCTCTCCCCTATGTCAATAGCAACTCACGTTGTTGTTGGGTTAGGGGACGGGTAGGTGCGTAGTCGCTCAGATGACAGACAATGATCCGAGTTCTGAATCAGTATTGCCTACGAGTATTTCTCCTCTTGGAAAAAATCCACTTAATTGAAACAGTTTCTCACGACAACTCATCCCCCTCGTTTACTACTGAAACACAAATTATCGAAAGCAATTTAAGCTTGAGGGCACCAAACAGGTTCTATCGAATATATTTGCATGAATTAGCTGATACGGAGAGCAAAATTGTCAAACTGACAGATTTCTTTTGAGACCAAGCTAAACAGAAGCTTGTCGTAAGTATTAGACATCCTTCAGTTCTACCGACAAATTAAGACAAAACAAATATTGTAATTGAGAACTTTTCATTTAACGAAATTGCCTACACCTTGTCAATCTTAGGGTAAGTTGTGGTAAACGATTTCCCTTCCATATCTTTCTGATAATCAGTTTTAATTATAACTCGGAGGCGTATCAGCGAAACTTAGCAAATTGAAGTAGTGAAATTATCGACTGGTGTTCATTTATACGACACAATATTGTATAGTTAGTTCCGTCAACACTGCATTTGAGCAAACCAACAGACCATCATTATCATCAACGGGACGTGTTCGTTAAATCTTCCGCTAAGTGATTGAGTCAAACTGGGCGACCACATAGCCGGTCCACCGAAAAGTTTGGGGCCCATTTCTTGAAAACAAAAAATGGGAGATGAAATACCTTTCGAACATGTCGAACAACGATTCGTCGGCATTTACGCCATCAAATACTGTTCTGTCTAAACGAGAAGCCATTGCATGGTGCTGTGCGTTTACAATTTCATCTGCCGTCATTATTACGGGAAATCTTCTCGCAGTTGCTCTCTTTGCCATCAACAAAAGACTCCAGAAGAAACAATTCATTCTTCTCATCAACATGGCGAGTGCTGATCTGATGTTAGGGGCCGTGTCTCTCCCTGTCTTTGTTTACTCAGTGGTCTGGAAAACGTATGAGCAAACGGTAGAGGGAATGGCAAGCACTTTCACAATTTTTCGTGGCGTCTCCACCATCTTTTACACGCAAGCTTCAATTATTTTTGCAGCTTTCATCTCTGGTGAGAGATTTTTTGCCACGCACTGGCCATTACGACACAGAGTGGTATCCTTGAAATCGTATCGTTGGGTGTGTTTTGCAGCATGGGCCGTTGTTCTCCTGAGCACAGCAATTCTTTCTCTGCTAAAAATTTTTACGTCTGGTGGAGCTTACTGTTGGCTCTGGGTGCAATTTACCTCCAGTTTGATAATCATAATATGTGGATGTAATATTGGTGTTTGGAGAAAGTTCCAAAAAAGACGTTTAACCCCGCATACTAAATCGTCACAGAAAAGACAGTTGACGAAGACATTGTTGTTAATATCGCTACTTGCTTTGCTGTCGTGGTCCCCAATCATCCTTTTAAACATTTTCAGAGCTGTTAATTATTCTGTGAATAAGAACATTTACTTTACGGCAGTGTTTTTGAATATTTCGAGTTGATTTGTAAACCCGATAACGTATTTTGTAAGAATTCACGAATTCAGACAAGCACTCACCGTGTGTTTTTGCAAAAGTAAAACAATGCGTGGAAATACGCATGTCAATGCTGGAAGAGATCGGACTTTGTCAAACTTCTCAGTATTTTCCAACGATTTTGCTGACGTACTGGAAACAAAATTGTAAAAAAGTACATAACTACAGTCTAAATTTAACCAAGGATTTTAACATTCTTTAACCTTACGGTTGGTTACAGCTGTTTTGCAGTTTTAAAAGAGGGATTTTAATAATTTTATCACTAAACAATATTTAATTTCTGCTATTATTTCGACACTTTAAATTTTCATACTTTAAAATAATAAGCATTTATTTCGGTCACATATGATGTTAAAAAAAAAAACTTATGTATCTAAACCTCAATTATAGAAGACATTATTCCCGTCATTTTTTTCCTCGACGTTATGAATATGAAGGAACGTTTTTCGTCTCTTGGGAGTAAGAACTTGTATGCCGACTCAGAGCTTTTGTGCTCTAGGTTCAAATATATCATTAAAAGTATTCTATCTGAGGAAAATGAATCCTTAATTGTGTTTAAGAAACATTTACGTATTGTAAAATTAGAATTCAACATGACTGCAGCATGTGCGCGACATAACCGACAGTCGAAATCGTCTAGTGCAAACAAATGTTATTAATACAGCCTCTATCTAGCAAAAATATTTTGGCTCCAATCATGATTTGTGCGCGAACAGTTTTTCGACGGCTAAAGGAAAATTGTGAGCTTTGTATGTTTAATTTGAGATGGGAAAGCGTTCTCCTCATGATAAAGAGGAAAAGATAAATTTCAGGGAAGTCGCGAAAGGGACATCCCACGCAGTAAAATTTCTGACGCTAACCTGTTTCAGTATAAACGTTGTCGTCCTACGCGCTGCAATAGAATATTAAGTAACGAAAACAACAGCCAGGAAAGGCTTTTTTATCAGCATTGTACTTAATTCGGTCCTGTAAGCACATATAGGCAGAAATTTTCCTCAAGCTTCTCTTTCGGAATACCGTTTGCCTCTCGGATCAGATAATCGTTCGTTGAAAAACATATTTTCTCGCCCAATGAAGGTTATTGTTTAAATATTTTCCCGCCTAATGGGGGATATCATATTCCGTTTTAACAGGTGGAACAAACATTTACAAACAGCGTATCATCAGCAACGATTCCCTCTTACTGAATGTTGAGTTCTAGGTGTTATCATTTACGATTCATGGAAAATAAGGCGGTCCTGCCCACTTTATAATAAGTGATTAAAAAATGCCATAACTGTTGTGCCGAGGTTATTACAAAATGCGTCGTTGTTACAAAAGGCCACAGAGCAAAGTGAATACGTTTTTCGAATCTTGCAACACAGTTTTATTCCACAATTTATGTATTTACTGTTTCCCTCTTGCAAACGGCAATGATTTGTTAAGCATCATTTTCTATTGTTAAATGAAGAGAGGGACACAACATTCAGACAGTTATACCAGATTGACAAGACCCACGAAACATTATAACAGTGCCTTTGAGATATCACCAAAGTATCGGAAGAGCAGAGCGCGATATTCGACGATAATCGTTTGCACTTGTTGCCCAATACTGTATGTTTTCGTGGCAAAGTTAATTGTTTCTATTCTCATCAAGATGTTGTTACAAATTAGCTAGACCGACGATTATTACGAAATGCTGAAGTTTTTATTACAAAATGCCTCGCTCGCCTTTACTACAAACTGCCTCAATACTCAGAACAAAATGCACGAGTTATTAAAAAATCCTACAGCCTTCATTACAAAATCCTTAGGTTATAACAAAATGAGAAGTTAGCACAGAATGCCGCAGAACAAATAACACTTTCCGCACTTTATTATGTAAAAAGTTGTGGCTCAATGAGAGACCATCGCACTTTGTGATAAAATAAGCTGTCGTCAGTTAGTAATCGCACTTGCAACTTGTAACAATAATAATGTTAATTATACTAATAGTAATAATAATAATGACAACGATAAAAAGTAACATAAATGATAACGACAAAGAAAGCAAGTGATAATGTTGGTAATGGAAAGAATGTAAATTGTGATCATAATGAAGTCTCAATGTAAATGTGTCCCTCAAAGACTTCGAGATCTACCTGCGCAAGTGTAGTCGTAAACTCTATCTATGAGAACGACTCTGAGGCCGCAAGAAATAGTGTAAGTAATAATAAACGTCTGTAATGGCAAAAGTTTGTTTTGGAAATCGGCTGCAATCCGTATTATCCGTATTATTACTACGTAATAGTAAGATGTCCTTATGGCGTGAAGTTTGTAGTTATCACCATAGTTAATCCCCTCGATTAACTATGTTATCACACAAACCGGAGCTCTTCACCAGTCGTGAAATTACTATCTTATGTGGGGAGCTGGGTTGGCGTAGTGGTGAGAGCGCTCGCCTTCCACCAATGTGTCTCGGATTCGATTCCCGGACCCGGCGTCCTAAGTGGATTGAGTTTGTTGGTTCTCTACTCTGCTCCGAGAGGTTTTTCTCCGGGTACTCCGGTTTTCCCCTCTTCTCAAAAACCATCATCATTTGAATTTATTTAATTTAGAGTTTATTTGGATTTACACACGACCCCACAAGCTGTTCAGCTTTAAACATTATCGTGTCTAAATAAAGGTGTTAGTACAAAGCAACCTAGTTTGATTGTTATAACACAGTATCTTATCAATCATCTCTTGACGACTCAAATGCTTTCAATGCTTGCGATCCATTCGCTGTTACTGTCTTTTTTTTTCAATACCCTCCCCTTCCGAGAACCAAACTCTGCCCATTTTTCACCCTTCCCACAATCCACCTCTAACTTCTAACTTCTGCTTCCTCGCCTAGCAACAAAAAAAAGGCCACTGGTTCCTTCTTGAGAATAGCTCGAAAATCACATTTGAAAATTGCATAGAGAGAACACCTTTTCTCTATGAATGAAGAAAAGAGTGTTTTGTGAGAGGGAAAAATTTCAATTTGTTGATTGAGGCTAAAACACCGAGTTGTCTCATCTACATGACAAAGCACTTCGTTATTATATATTTGTTATTATTTTTTTCACTAAAACTTTTTCTTGCTGGTTGATTCTGTTTTAAAATATATTTCAAAGACTTCAGGAATTGAGGGCTAGTCCTCATCCTAGAGCCCAAGCTTCCCTATGGAATAAACTTTACGGAAATGACCAGGCCATTGTCTAGGCGACGCTTACGCGTTTAACAGGTTTCAGAGCCTAACGATTTTCGCTCCGCATTCCAGCTGAAGAAGCTGATTACCGTCACGTACGGGAGCGAATAGTGTCCTTGTAAATTTATAGAGTTAGTACCCCGGCCAGTCACTGAATGGGGTCCTTCTGACTGTCTTGATCTTGGCCCTTCTCATGTGAGTACCCAGCTGCAATGCCCGTCCTTCCTTCCACTGCTTGTGCCACAGGGGTTTCACCAAGTTTCTGTTCCAGTCCCCTCCATGATCTTGATGCAAGGTACTCCGCTAAATCAGAGATTTTCACAAGGATCAGTTTCTAATCACTGTTGAAGCATTATTTTACAATAAGTGGTGGCTATTTGTTTGCTAAATTCTCTCAACCGATCGATGAAAATTCTTTCCATTCTATCTCTTTTTGTAAAAAAAAAATTACCACTAGCTTAGCTCTATTTCAAGACACAACGAACACTTCAATTTTTTAGAGCGAGGAGAGAACGAGGTGCGAGTCGCACGCGAGGGGAAAAAGCTGCTCCTCCCGCGCGCAATTCCCGCCCTCCTCGTTCTCGCCTCGCGCTGGACTCCGCTGGCCTGACAAACGCAAAAGGACGCCTGTTATGCTGGTTAGAAAAGAAGAAACTGGCAACAAGAGTAGTCTTCCTCGCATGCGCTAAATTTTCGTTAATATAATCAACCCAAAATTATGGTAAGAGGGAAAAAGAAAAGAAATGAAATCTTCTGGAAAAATTGTTTTAAAACACCTCATCAACGACAAGAATCAAGTCCGACCTGCCGAAGTGTGGTGTTGAGTTGACAAACTTGTTTCCTGATTTCGCTCGACCAGTGATCTTGAAGAATTCCCTGGAAATAATCATTGAAAAAAAAAAAACTTAATTTTGCATCCTGTGAACAGTCTGAATGAAACATAATATCAGCAAGTTGGCTGCACTTCAAATAACTTAACGAGTACTATGCTCTAAAGGTGTCGAAGATTGTAAGTCCCCACAGTAACCCTATCGGAGGGTCGTTAGATCATAGCCGACAAACACATACCTCTGTCCACGTCTGATGAACGATAAGTGGGTCCCAGATGTCCAGTCACTAGGGAAACATCTGGGATCTCACTGGATTCATCCATATTCTGTAGAGCAAACCAACTTGTGCGTAAATATAACAACCATTTAGAGAATTGTTCTAGAGTGTCAATAATGAAACGGAATGGCTTCAATATGCCCTGTAATTGGTTCAAAAAATTGCACCACCTCGGCAGCCAGTCATAATTAAAACCATTATTATTATTATTTCATTTAATCCTCTTCGTGTTGTGAAACACATAATTTAAAACCTATTACTCGAATTTCCAGAGCTTGAGGCCGGTTTCCTGTCTTTTGGTTTTGGTTTTGTTATTTGACAAATTCCTGTAATGAACAACAATCAGTCCGTCTTTCCCAGCGTAATCTGTCCCATTTGCCAGGAAAAATTAGCAACAAAATATATCCTGACGCTGCGTTAACTCTAGAAAGAGAAGCACCTTGCTTCCCAGAACTCACACGCGTCGGGATCAATCTCGCTCCCAGAGCTCACGCTCCCCTAATCCAAGAGTGTGGGTGAGTGTGACCTCTCGGAACAAGATTGCCCTGGGAAATTTTTTGACCGATTTCTACTGACTTGCGCAACTACAAGACGAGACTGTTCGTTTGATTAAAAAGGGGTAAGTTTCTAAAGAAACTGTGGTGCCGCGTCGGTGGGAGTAACAAGGAAATATAGGTTTAATCAACTGAGTTCATCCTGTAAATTGGTTACCGTAAAGAGCTTCAAAGCTGACGTTTCGAGCGTTAGCCCTCCGTTAGAGGGAAGTTTGATTGTCCAGTTTGCACTTGGAGCAATTTTCAATTCAGTTTCAAACATTGAACACCAAAACCAACGTAATCACAATAGCCAATCAGAAAAGAGGTGAACATCAACATTAGCCGATGAGAGGCGCTTGAAACGCACGAACACGTCAGTGACCGAGTCACAATTGGTTTCAGTCTAGCATCTGATTGATTAAGAGTGTGGCGAGAATTTTTTTTTCACAGAGCGACAAAAGGCCAAACCGAAAACGCACCAATTATTGCGATACTTGAATGAAAATTGCTTTCTTGACCCTTTGACTCCTGCGAGAGACTAGCATCTAATTTCTCCTTAAAAAATATAACCTCTGAATCACACGTAAAGGTCATGTCATGTAAAGAAACGAAACGATCATCAGCTAAAGAAGCTCATGATTGTTAAACTTCATACCTTAGGAAAGGTAAGGAGAACTGTACAGGGAATATGCATACTGATGTTAGGGTGTAAAGAATGAAGTCAATTGAGTCTCTTGCTTACCTCTTCTACTTCGAGTTCAACTGAAGCACTAGCTCCTGTTGTCGTAAATAAAAGAATTTTCAATTATTATCGGTACCAAGAAATCATTATTTTTCTTGCAACTTGCAAACCTACACGTGCTGCTTTGCAAGCTGCCAAATGAACGGTTTTCTTTTTTGACATGCAATCAGTAACTTTGCAAGTAAGCGGGAAAATTTCCTTCTATCTTTATTCACTATCATGATCAAACATTCAAGGCTACAGATTGTCTATTACAAAACCTTTCCTTAAACTCTGGTGTAAAAAATAAAAAGGGTTTACCCCACAGGTAACCCAGGCTCACTGCTTGTGTCACGCACACATGGTTAAATACAGAGAACATATGGTGCGAAGTTTAGGTATGGAAATTTGCTTGAAAATGGAAATAAAAATCAATGTAACTTACCATGTGGCGATTTGTTGCTGTCCTTAATATGTACACGAAGTTGCGGGAAAAATACTCTTCTTCACCTTTCCTTCATAGTTCCATCTACTATGAAGGAAAGGTGAAGAAGAGTTTTTCCCAAAACTTCGTGAACATAATTATTAAGGACAACAACAAATCGCCACATGGTAAGTTTCATTGATTTTTATTTCCATTTTCATGCAAATTTCCAGATCTAAACTTCGCTCCATATGTTCTCTCTATTTAACCATGTGTATGTGACACAAACAGTGAGCCTGGGTAACCTGTGGTTTACCCAACCAATCTCAAACTCAGTATTGATTGACTTACAAAATCAAATTTAGGATATCATATAACAAGGGAAAGAGGTACAATCTGTCATAAATTTATATTAAATGTTGTACAATCTTAGACCAGAGGGCAAATTCTTTCTTAGGTGTTAAATGGAGAAATTTAAGCACTTGAAGTTTAAGTTGAAAACAGCAAAACACAAACCTGGTAACAGTTCCCTAAAGTCTGTTATATAGTCTCCTGTCCACTCCCGAGTTCTGTGATGAAAGACACATATCATTCTGCATTTTTACAAATATCAATAAAATTACCAAAAGAAACCGTCTGAGGTTTCAGTATGATGAGATTCTTATTATTACTGTACTATTGTATTGTAATAAACAAGTTTTCTTTCCACCAGTTTGTGATTGTTTTACAGAAACAGTATGAACAAGAAACTTTGAGTTCCCTTGCAGCTCTCTTTTCAGTACCTTCTTTGAATATGTAATAAACAAAAGTCTGTATGCAGGAGTATGGAGATTTTCTCCATAACTAGTGGGGAAAAAGTTTGGAGCAGTCTCTTGAGTAAGATGAAAACTAAATGTCTTAAATCAATCATTTCTTAACACTTCCCATCTCTCCACACATTGCTTAAAAGAGGCCAAGGCTATAAACAATAATATGATGTAGTTGATACTTAAATCACCTCATACCTCAAACAGGCCAATTCCATTTCAAAAGGAGTAACTATTGGTTTATAAAATTCCTGTAAGACATAACAATGTTAAAAAGTTAACCACAAAGTTTTGAAAGACTAGAAGCCTGAAAAAATTAGAGGATTTATTGAATAATTTTTGCTGTACCTGTGAGTCAATCAGAGTGTTTTCAGGGCAAGCAACCAACACAAACACATCCACCTCCATAAAGTTTGCCATTTTTGCCACATTAAGCTTCCCCATGACAAACAAATAAGACTGAAATAAAACAAATCAGTATTCATAAACCTAATTATGTTTGTTGATTCTTAGCTGTTCACAATATCACGATAGTGACTGAATTGACAGGACTCTGTGCTGTGGAATGACAGGTTGACATTTGCAAGCTCTGTTAGGATTGTTTGTGTCATTTGGTGTTCTTGGGTGAAATAATTTTTCAGTCCCAAAATCACAGAGAGCTGTCAAGGAAACATACATACATACATAGGTTAATTAACCACTCCCCATAGGGGCTTTTCAGGGCCAACACCCACCCATCCCACACAGGGGAGGACACCACCACACAGTAGTCTCATGCGTGGGAAATTATCTTCTCCTACCCCTGACCATGATGGAGATGGGGCCTACGGTTTATTCGTCCTTATCGGAGAAGACTACAATATCTATCCATTTCTTGATTATAGAAAGGTAGCAAATTCTCCTCCCCAGTTAGCTCAATTGGTTAGAGCACTGGATTGTTGTGCGGGAGGTCGAAGTCGATGATTCGAGCCAGACCAACACTCAAGGTCTTAAAATAACTGAGGAGAATGCCCTACCTTTCTATAATATCAAGAAATGGATAGACACTCTAGTCTTCTCGGATAAGGACGAATAAACTGTAGGTCCCGTCTCCTGCATCTATTAATTAGTTAATTCGGTTAGGCAGGGGA